CACACTAATTTTATTTGTTATTCTTGACCATAATATATACTGACCGATAAAAAAAAAGTCAGCACCTGGATTTAGCCAAGCAAATAGGTAAGAGCCGTCCATTGGATAGAAAGGCTAGGTTCAAGAATGTTATGTCCCCAAAAAATGAGGTCAGCTGCCTACCTGAATATACTAAATGACCAGATTTTTCCATCGATTGATTCTTTTTTCCCTGATGACACATTGGGCATATTCCAAGAAGATAATGCCAGGATTCATCGGGCTCACATGGTGAAAGAGCAGTCCAGGGAGCATGGGACATCACTGTCACACATGGATTGGCCACCACAGAGTCCAGACCTTAACCCCCATTGAGAATCTTTGGGATGTGCTGGAGAAGACTTTACACAGTGGTCCAACTCTCCCATCATCACTACATGATTTGGTGAAAAATAATGCATCTCTGAACAGAAATAAAATGTTGTGACATTGCATAAGCTTATCGAAATGATGCCACGGCGAATGCGTGCCATAATCAAAGCTAAAGGTTTCAATCGAAATATTAGAGTGTGTGACTTTTTTTTTTTGGCAAGGCATTGTATAAAGAAGAAGATATGAATGAAACCACTACACATCCCCTTTAGGTCAGACATGCAGAACTACAAATAAACAGAAAACAGCACCGAGCTCTGTACAGGCCTCAGAACTGCTTGTTTCTCAAGTAAGGTTCCTATTCGTGAGCTGCAACGCATACCTCTGCTGGTTTCTATTTGGTTTCCCTTCTCGGGTGGAATGGTTCCGGGGGGGGGCTTTTGTTTTGTGGCAGGAGGGGGCGTGGCGGTGCATTGAACTCGTGGCACATTAGTGCCTGCGTTCCGGTCCAGTGAGATCTGCAAAACAATACTGCGAGCACCACCACGCCCCCTCCCGCCCCAAAACAAAGTTAGCCGGCCGTGTTGCGTTCCAGAGGTCGAATGCACTGGAACGCACTCTTGATGGTGTGATAGGGCCCTTAGACCTCATCCTGCTCGTGCCCAGACCTCTCCGTCTCCACCAGCCCAGCCACCCCTCCTCCCGGGCGCAGTGCTGCCTCACCTTTCACGCTCTACCACCTCTAGTGATTTTTTCCCCCACTGAAATGCAATTCAGCAATTGCGGGTTCCATTTATCTGCCCTTGTTGGTTCTCTTTAAAACAAGTAGATGGTGTTGTGTCAAAATTTAGAACGATACACCAATTAGGCATACACATTCTTCAAAGCGCAACAGTAGGAGCCATTATAAGCATGGAGCCAACTCTAAAAAATGAAAAGTAAACCTTCAGGATAGAAATACGGCAGCTGCAATTTCTGGCATGTTTTTTTTATACTTAAAGTCCAACTCAGTAAACAGTAAAGCAAGGATGACCGTCCTGAAGCATGAGTTCACAAAAACAAGAAGACAATGGCCGCTGCCACAGTTCAGTCCCGATAGGGACCTTAGAGGGGGGAAAAAAAGCAAGACACGGGAAAAATGTGACAGTCCTTTTTTGGAGTGAACTTCTGGGTATAAACCAGTTCTACTACATTAAACACGCCGTATGAGTGCTCACAAGCTACTTGCTAGTTAAACATAACTTTCTGCATGCCCCTTCATGATTTTTCCACCTCCGCTGAGCAGCGACAAGGACCAAAGAACATTTTTGAAATAGTGATGTCTACCAGGCAGACGGCTCTGGGATCAGACTTAGAAATGGGCCTATTAATCCAGGGAATTTACACTTCCTTTTATCTGCCTCCGAGACTCTCCTGCTTGTGTGGGTGTCACCAGCAATCCTCTACAAGAAGGAAAAGATACCTCATCGTAACGAAGGATTCATCTGATCAAAACTGATATCAACAACTGAAACCTGATTGCAGAATAAGCCTTTAGCCCTGGTTTTGCGCTTTTGTACACACGTTAGCAGTATGTGGTTATTTGTGCGTTGTGCACATTTGTATGTGCGTTTTAGCACGCGTACATGAAGACGCAGCTCATAAACCATTGTGAGCAATGGAAGAACGCGTGTATAAACGCGCAAAAACGCTCACGAAAATGTGCAACCTACTTCTGTTGCGCATTTTTGGGCATTTCCAAAGAAGTCTATGGGGAGTAGGGCTGCAACAACTAATCGACATAATCGATTATAATCGATTATTGAAAAAGTTGTCAACTTTTTCAATAATCGATTAATCGGCTTCTGATCAGTTGGCCCTGTTCACGGCTCCACACACGCTGCGCGCCGCACCTCCTCCCCAAGTGTTGGGCAGTTAAAAGCGCTTTTCGAACTGTTCAAAAACGCCTGGGTGTGAACCAGGGCTAAAGGCCAGATCCACTCTAAATCCACTTCAATAACACGCAGCATGTCAAGCATTTCTGAGCATTGCGGTAAAAGGAGCCAATTCATTTCAAATGGTCTGCCCACGTACCACACTGTAGGTTGTAAACACACACACGCCATTTTTTCCCCAATAAAATGATGTTTCATTTTTGTAGGTTGTGTTGCCATAAAAACACATGCGCCTAAGTCTCATCACGCTAGCTGCTTCACGTATGGCACATTTTACCATGCGTTACCACAACACACATTTCATTATAGCTTACAGTTGTTTTACATTTACATCGCAAAAGGCAGTTTTAGAGGAGAGTATCTGTGCATTTTTCATTCACTTTTCAACCGACTGCCTTTCAACCGACTACGACTTTTCATCCGTCTCCCTTTCCCCTGACTACGACTTTGCATCCGTCTCCCTTTCCCCTGACTACGACTTTGCATCCGTCTCCCTTTCCCCGACTATAACTTAGAACCTGTATTCCCTTCCCCACCTATAACTTTGTGCCCATAGCCCTTCTCCACCTTCAACTTTGCACGCATCTCCCCTTCCTCGCCTAAAACTCTGCTCCCGTCTCCCTGAGCACCACTCTGCGCCCGTCTCCCCTTCTCCTCATACAACTTTGCGCCCGTCTCCCCTTCTCCTCATACAACTTTGCGCCCGTCTCCCCTTCTCCTCATACAACTTTGCGCCCGTCTCCCCTTCTCCTCATACAACTTTGCGCCCACTTCCCCTCATCCAACTTTGCGCCCGTCCCCCCTTCTCCTCATACAACTTTGCGCCCGTCTCCCCTACCTGCTACAACTTTGCGCCCGTCTCCCCTACCTGCTACAACTTTGCGCCCGTCTCCCCTACCTGCTACAACTTGGCGCCTGTCTCCCCTACCTGCTACAACTTGGCGCCTGTCTCCCCTGCCTGCTACAACTTGGCGCCCGTCTCCCCTTCTCCTCATACAACTTTGCGCCCGTCTCCCCTTCTCCTCATACTACTTTGCGCCTCTCTCCCCTTCTCCTCATACAACTTTGCGCCCGTCTCCCCTTCTCCTCATACTACTTTGCGCCTCTCTCCCCTTCTCCTCATACAACTTTGCGCCCGTCTCCCCTTCCTCCTCATACAACTTTGCGCCCGTCTCCCCTTCCTCCTACAACTTTGTGCCCGTCTCCCCTTCCTCCTACAACTTATAGCATGTCTCCCCTTCTCCTCCTATAACTTTGTGGCCATCTCCCCTTCTTCACCAAAAACTTTGGCTAGCAGGCTGTCACGTCATCCCCATCTCTTGCCGTCAAGTGTCCTAGTCATGGCTCTCTGCCTATACAACCATTGGGATGTCTAATGTAACGCCTATGACGCTCTGTCAGATCACACGGCTCGGTGCTGTCAGCCTCTGGAGCTCTGTGTGTATCTCGCCCATGTCATACAGTATGAGGCTCGGTGGCAGCCATTTATGGCGGAGGTCTCACCTGTGCAGAGCTCTCTCACATCCGCCGGTATGCCCGGTGCTGGCTCCTCTCCATGCACACCCAGCCCGCCGTCACTCGTCAACTCCGCACGTCACTTTTCTCCTCCGCTCCCTCCCCGCTCTCTCTCCGAGCCTCGACCTAACACCTCCAAGATGGCCGCCGCTTCCCGCCGCTCAACCAATCCGATAGTGCTGTGTGCGTGACGTCACCGTCCGCTCTCCGCCCCACCCTGTCTCAGTCCGCTCAGACCCATACCTGCCCAGAGTGACGTCACTGTTCACTTCAAGGGAAGAAGAGTTGCAAGGTGTCCATGACTCGCTGGGAGATTTGTCCCTGGGAATTTTGTCTTCTAGATTTGAAAGACTGATGACAAGAAGGATCACTGCTCTTTATCAGAATAATAATTGTTTCTTAAAGTATTAGTTCACCTTTGCAATACAATGCACTATGTGGTGAAGAGATCCCTGAACTTTTAAAAACAATATGTAACTTTAACTCTTGTGCTGCCAGAGCTGTATTGTGCACACATGTATTGCAACATGCACATTTTAGGCCTGAAGATTACTTAACCCCGGCAGAGTTATATATTTTCTGAAAGCAAAGCCCCTGTAGAATAAAATGGTGGCAGTTGCGATTTTTTTATTTCACACCATAATAGTGCAACCGTTTATAAAACCCACATTTTCATTAGATGACACATTGAAAGAATTTTAAAGCACATAGACACAATATAATACCTAATTTTTTTGTAAAATAGAAAAGAAGGGAGGGGTTACACAGAGTAAATAGATACGTAACATGTCAAGGTTCTAAATTGCGTGTGCCTGTGAAATGGTGAAAAAGTACGGCACACAAAACTGTCCATAAGCGACACTTTAAAACAGGGGTCTCAAACTCAATTCCTTAGGGGGCCACTCCATGATTTTTTTTTCTCCCATGGGGGTCGCTTGCCAAATTGCATACTTTAAAATAAAATGTAACTATATAAGGATTGGTACTACGGACCCCAATATACTAGGGATGCACCAATACCGATACTAGTACCGGTGCCGATGCCGAGATACTCGCCCAAATGCTCCGATGCCTAGCCCGATACTTCCTGTATCAGGAAGGGGGGGGGATAAAAAAATCTTGCACTAGGGCCCTTTGTTCCTTAAGTCCACCACTGGGCTTTAACTATGAGGATGAGTGGAAATCACTCACCTCATAGTTCTCATTTATTTGCTAGCAGTTTAGTGGTTACAGGTTTAAGGAGACATTAGGAGTCTATTAGTCCCCTAATGTCACTTTTGCACTCCAGTGAAGCTGATGAAGCACAGATTGTTCTTTGCTTTATTAGCTTCATCCCTGGCTGCTGACAACTCTGGAAGTGACAAAATCCTCATCTCTTCTGCATTCTATCAGTTAAAATCTGTAGTTTAATTGCAATACCTGTAGGTCCACCATGGTTTACCGGCAGCCTGGCTGAAAAACTACTATTGAGCAGGTGTCCCCATTGGAACATTTCCCCTTGCCCTCTTTTCAGATGACATTTGTAAAATTTGGGATTTTCATCACTTTCTCTCCTGGTGACAATGTTCTATGGGGCAACTAGAGAAGGTAAATCCCCCTTTCGATGAAATGGACATCAATATAAACCTGATCCCCGCCCAGTCTATCCAAAAATAAAAAGCCATGAGCAAAAAAACCATACAAACTCTACATAGGATTGGATGGCCTCCTTGGCGATCTCTTGCTGGATCAGAGACAAGTGGGTAGAAGACTGGCTGAGGACTGAGAGCAGTGGTGGCTGCAATATAAGTGGAACTTCACCAATGATGCCATACACTTTAATACACAACAAAGGATTTGCAGAGTATTGAGGTTTCTTAAGAGACAGCACGGCTGTCATTGTCTCCCTTCAGGCACAGCCATCTCGGACAGAGCTGTTGGACGAGTTCCTGCTCTGACTTATTCACAAGCAGACAAAGAAAAACATGAAACGTTGCCGGAACCTCCACCCGCTTACTGAAAATGATACCAAAGATAGTAAAGCTACTCTCCAGGGTCTGAAAAAATGTCTGAATGGGTAAGGAGGGGTTAGGCCCTTGGCATACTCGTTTAAAATGAAACACTGCTGGTCCTGCATTGTACGTGATGACATCAGAGGGCGAACAGAAGAGAATTTGGGAGAAATGCCGCACAGAGAAGAGGAAGCCTGAGGGAGGGAGAGATAAGGGAAAGCTGGCCATACACCAGTACAAATCATCATTTTAGGAATGTTCAGGGCCATCCTTTTATTGAGGCAGCCTGAGGCTGTTGCCTCAGGCGGCATCTTGTTGGGTCACATGGGAAAAGGGGGGTAGCAGGCAGAGTGGCATGGCCGCTCTGCTGCACAATGTTTGCAGTGTACCCTGTAATGTCTGTCATTAAAACCCTACCTGTCAGCATTTTTTTCAGTCTTAATTCTACTTACACTTTAACATACGTAAGAATTTGTGTTGAATTGTACATGTCAGTCCAACATAATAAAAACATTTATAGCACAGGTTAGCCATGTTATCATGTTAACCATTAGTGAGAAAACTCTGATAAGCCTGCTATTTATTGCAATTTAGATAAAGTTTTATGACAGCCTTTTCAATAGACACTTGTCTATGCAGGACATACATTGCTCAATACCTGTGTTATATGAATGGGTTCCATCTAGGTCAGTGATGGCTAACGTTTTTCATTCCGAGTGCCCAAACTGCAACGGAAAAGCATTTATCTCTAAGTGCCAACACTGAAAATAAGTTTGGTATTGTGTTTTAGTTTGGGCACTCGGGTTTAAAAAACGTTCAGCATCACTGCCTTGGCAAAATAGAGAAACACACATATTTAATCATTTAAACATTTTATTTTTATTTTATTTTTATTTATTATATTTTTCTTTTTTATCACTTTTTAACTTTTTTAATTTCTATTTTTTTTTAATTTTGATTAATCTTATTATCTTTCACTTTTTTGTATA